AGCCCGACCCAGCACTGTCCAGGGCAGAGGAAGCTTTGAGAAATCCAGACCTGTCGGTAAAGGTCCCCCGAAGGTGAGTGGGGCACGGGGGTTGTACAAGATGGACTTCCACTGTCTTCCTCCAAGTGACACGATCGTCTCTGTTGGATGCGTGTGAATCCCCTGAAGACAGGACTCACCGACCTCCCCTGCGATCTGTGCTCACCGCCTCTCTGAGCGCGACTCAGTGGGTCTACCTGCAGGAGAAAGTGTGCTCTCCACAGAGACATTTCTAGTATCCCTAGACCTCCAGCTGTTGTTTGCATCACAAATTAATAAAGGGGCATTCTGGTTTTATGCATGTGTCTCATGAATTTATTTAGGGTAAATTTGTCCCTGAGATTTCCAAAACTCTACAGTTAGATCCTGAACCCCAGGAAGTCACGATCCATCTTGCAAGACTTCTTGGGACACAGCCAATGGGACCTCCCTTGGCAATCCCCTTAACACTGCCACGTGGCTGAGAGCACTTTGAATTTCCACAGCTCTCCAGGATAAAATCTATACTCCTTTATGGGGCATGAAAGGTCTTTGTCATCTAGTCCAGCCCAGCTCCCCAGCTTCAGGTCCCATCTTTCTTACGCTGTACTTTTCAGCAATTCTCAACTACTTGTACCCCTACCCTGTGTATGCATGTGCACGTGCACGTGTCTGGGGGCACACACGCAGCCTTATTCACAAGCGTGTCTCTGTGCCTTTGGCTTCCTGAGAGCCCCCCATCTCCACCTCATGAGTTCACACAGCTTTCAGGTTTTGGTGACATCACTTCCTCTTTGTTGTAGCCAACGCTGCCCACCCCCGGCCAACTGGGAGCCCCTCTTCAGCGTCTCCGCTGTGCTTGGTGCCTGTCCCCTCTACATCAATTATTTTCTTACAACATTTGGTTTGTCTGTCTCCTCCTTGATGGTAAGTAAGCTCCTAGAAATGAGAGATCCATAATTTAACTTCTAGATCACTGGGATTTATGGCCTTCTAAGCATACACACTGTCGGCGTTTATCAAATACTGAGTGAACAACTAGAATAAGGTTTGCCTCGTTTCAGAGGAAATCTCAACGCAGCGGTCTCCTGGGGATTCCTCACGGTACTAGGATGAAGTGTGGGGAAGGTGGGATAGGATGGAAGGAGCTTCCTGCAGGACCGAAGCTGGAGCTGCCGGCGGGGGGACGGGGCAGAGCCGCCCCGAGTCCCCCAGATCCGCTGACCAAGCAGGCGTGTGAGGGGAGATGTGGGAAGAGACTAACTCCAGGCCCCAGAGGATCTGCAGCGACGAGGGCAAGAGAAGGAAGAGAGACTTCAGGTGTGACCCCTGGAAAGGAAAGAAAATTCCAGGGCTGGTCCTCCAGGCCGAGTGCTCCTGGGGTCTGTTCATTTGTAAAAGTAGGTAAGTCTGAAATTGCCTGTAAAATCAGACATATTTTCTTCTGACAATTTTTCTAAATGGGGTAAAGAAAGATATTAAATCCAATTTATAATGTCATAAATTTTCCAAATTTGAAAAACTACTTTACATTCTACAGGGGAGATCCAGCCTGGAGGGTCTTGCCTTAACGCTCACATGCTCCCACAGATTGCTTTCTGACCATGAATATCTCATTTTATGGTCCCATTTTTCTAAATGATATCCTGAACGAAGGAATAATTCAGACAATAAATCCATTTCAATTACTGTCCATTAGAAGACAGGAAAACATTAAACCCCACCAAAGCATGTGGGAATTATGAGTTGCCCTTTCAGGTGAAAATTAATGTAATGCACCCACAGGTAAGACCACTGTACCCCAGCACAAGTTCTTTCTTATGAAAAGAGCGCTTTCCATTCAAACGACATGTTTCTCTGCAGTGTTTGTGCATGGGGTCTTCTACTCCGCCCAACCCAAAGTCAGGCTCCATGGCGGAAAGGAAGGCCAACAGGAGTCACACAGCTTTCCGACTCCGTGTCCTTCCTCACTCTTGTTCCCTCTCCTTTCTTTCTTTGGTCTCCTGTTCTTGGCTATTCTACAGCTCATGAGGTCTTCCTACACTTCCAGACAGAGCAGACAACTCACTTTTTGAGGGGTGAGGGGCTCCAATTTCGCATCTCTTAGAGACTCTGATTGGCTGAGCCCAGGTCAGTGTCCTCCCGGGGCCCCTCCACGGGGGCCATGGGTGATCAGGCCACATCAAACAAACATATCTTGTATCCAAAGCACTGTGACGAGTCAGGGTCTCAGAGAAAGGAGGCTGCCTCAAGGGTCAAGTAAATACCCCCAAAATGTCTCTATTTCAGTAGTTTTCCCCAAATTTCCCCTAAAGTATTCAGGAAAAAATACCTTTGAACCAATGGTTGACGCTGACATCTATTACAAGATGGAGAGATTTATTTTTGCTATTTCACTGTGATGATGAGCTTGTGTGTATCTGAACCATCCTTTCCACACAGCGAGGATCACGCGCAAGGACTCCACCTGGCTCTGTCTTCCGCAGTGCCCTTATCATCCCTCGTGTTCAATGGGAGTGAATAATTAAAAAGCAACGATCACGTTTGTAATAATCATGGGAGATTCCTCATGAGTATAGTAATTCCAGGAAGTTTGCAAGACGATTGATCAGAAATGGGAAGAAGGAATTGACGAGTTGATCAAAACATACTTGTTTGTCCTAGAAAATTGTATTCCACACATTCTTCAGGGCTATGGAGGATGGAGATGTACATGCCCCCAAACGATGCTGCATTCTTTCTACCTGGCTCTCCCTTCTCCCTCATCTTAATCCCACAGCCCACTGCATGCGCCACCTCCTTTCAATGAGTTCTATAAGCTTAACAGGCAACCCACTGATTAAACTCAGAGGGTAATGGAAACACGAAATGTAAGTGAATTTAAGAATGGTTGGGATAAAATGATAATATCCGAACCACAAATGGCTACTAAGAGAAGCTGGGATATATTTAACCTTTAAAGATGCTGATTTGGGGTGAACCCTACAACCCATGTTCCTATAGGCAGAATTTAATTAGTAAGTACACAGAAACAAAGAAGACTCTTCAGACAGCAAAAACAGCAGGAATGAAATTGTGGAGACAAGAATGAGATTCTGCGCTCAGGGGCAGGAAATAATCTGTTATATGGAAGAGAGAACAATTTCCCTCATGGCTAATGTTCCTGTCCTTTAGATGTCAGCTTAAAAGTCACCTCTTCAGAAATATCTCCCCTGAGTGGCCACTGTAAGTAGGCCCTGGTCACTCTCTATTACAGGTTTTCATCCCTGCACTTATTACCACAGATACACGTAAATACGTATTTCTCTGTCTTCCACTAGAGTGTGAGCTATATGAGAAATTGAATAGCGTCATCTGGTCCACAGTAGGTACTCAGTCTGTGCTCATGGAAGGAAGGAAGTGATGGGGTTCAGGACACGCTACCCCAAAATATGGCGCCTTGGCACATTGAATATTTCAAGCTGAAGGAGTTAGAGAAAAAGCCAGAACCTAGGAGGTCTTTCTGACCTCCCCCTTCTCCCCTGAAACAGGTAAGCCCCTCATGCGAGAGATGCCCTCACTAAACCCGGAGGAAAGAGGCATCCTCATTTCCTAAACAGAGGGACCCGAGGAGAAGCCCTGGAGAGGGGCCTTGCTCAGTCGCCCCCCGTTTACCGCGCTCACCTCACACTCCGTCCTGTCTTACTCCACCACTGCCCGCCCTTCGTCAAATCCAACACAGAAACACACAGGTTAACCATTTCTTCGGGTCTTACAAAGGCTCCTGTGTCACATAAAACTTACGTTAAATAAATCTGTGTGCTTTTCCCCTGGTAATCTGTCTTCATCAGTTTAACTTTCAAACTCGGCCAGGGACCACAAGAAGGTTGAGGAAAAAAGTTTTACTCCCCCAGGGAAAGGAAGGAGGGACGGAGGGGCATGGGGAAGAGGAGGAGGGAGGGAGTCTCTTTCAGCTGAATCCTCCAGACCAACCAAAGGGACCTCCCAGCACGGACTGCAGATCGTTGGCCACGTTGCACGTGGTTCTGGCAATATCGCTCGATGGCTTTTGAGCGGCATCTTAGCACACTGTTGATACAGCTCAAGACAGTGACACTCTTCTCTTTTAGCTTATTTTCCCTGTTAATCATCTAAGCCAATACCTCACTGACTTGAATTTACTTCTTAATTGTCAAACCTCCTCATAGTCCCCAGAAACACATCCTAAAATTTCATACCGCTGTGCTTTTTCTGTCGCGGCTTCCTCTGTCTGGAGTGCCTTCCACCCTATTTTCCTGCCTCTCAGCACCACATGTGTTAAACCTCAGCAAACTCCCCAGTCTTCACCTTTATCACCTGCATCACCTTTGTCAGAAAGAGACATGACATTTCACTGAGAATGGAAATAGCAAACTCATAATCTTCTCCTTGGCCATCCTGGAGTCTGCCCTCAGCTGTACATTCTACACTTTTCATCCCAAACAAACAGACTTAGTCTAGAAATCACCACTCAAGAGAAGATTTACCTGTAGATCGTGGGCACCCAGAGTCTGGGGACTTTCCATCTTCATTGTCCCAATTCCTGGCACATAGATATTAGCTAATTCAACATCAGTCACTATTGAAGGATTTAATTATTTTTATTGCATCATACCAAAGCTTCCACTAAAACTTCAGGTGATTAAATAATAGCTACCATTTTTTGAGCATCTCCTGTGTGTCAGGACACATTTTACCTAATTTAATCCTTGCAAGAACCCTTGAGGCTCAGATTAGAAGGATAAATAAAAGAGACAAATTTGCCCGAGTTCAAAAAGCTGGTAAATGATGGAACTGGTTTTCAAATCCAGATCTTTCTGATTTCAGATGAAAGTTAAAAACAAATGATCTTTACTGGTCAACTCTCAATTAATCAGAACATTCATTTAAACACGACACCCCAGTCCCCAAACATGTAACCTCAAGTAGATCAACAAAACTTAGCTGAAAATGCACGCACACATCTTTAAAACCGCAGTGTGAGTATACGCAATGACTTGCCTTTCTGATCTGAGATCAATATGTTCAACCTCCTGGCTTGCTCCTCAGGAGAAGGCAGCACAGAGTGTTCATCTTTCCCTGATGGAGAAAATGACAACATGGAGACAGAGGTGTTCCAGACCCGTGACGCTACACATTGATTGGCAAACATGATTACTTAAAAGTTTCCTTAAAAACGACCCTTCAAAAGTGAACTTGGAAGCAGGAGTCACAAACAGAATTGTGACCCTCACACTGAGTATCTACCACCCATGAGTTTATTGATATTAAATCTTATCCCTTTTTACATCTTAAATGCAAGACTGTCATTAGAGCCCCCCCAGGGCCATCTGGCACATTTTCAAGTTCTGTCAGTGGTGCCGGGGGACACTTCCTTCCCATTAAGTGTTCCTCGGGTCCCTTCTACTCTGTGTTAACCTCCGCCCGAAGGTGTCCCTGCCAAAGGTGTTAACTAATTAACTACCTGGCGCTGGTGTTGGTTCAGCTGGATTAAATAAACATGTATTAAGTGCTGGGACGTGCAGACTCAGTGTTAGTCAATTGACAGGAGCTGAAAGCGCAGCCCCACCCAGAGGAGGTTTGTGCTGCACCAGGAAACGTGAAGAACACTTTGCTCTGAGGAATGAAACTCTGGACCCAGGCTGAATGGTTAATGTCTCAGGCCAGAACCCTGCACACCTCCTGTGAGGTCAATGGTCGGCTCCTGAGGCAGTGGTGACACAGACATGGGGGGCACCAGCTGCCCCGCCACCCTCCCCCAGTCTTCAGTATGTTTCAGATGTAGCTTCAAGACCATGTCCCCCCAAAGCAGGGGGCCACCTCCCGCACCCCACACCCCACACCCCTTCTGGACTAGGACCTCTGCAACCTCCACCGCTCCATTGAAGCCACTTGTAAAGCCATTAAAATTTCCTGACCCATAATATCATCCCACAACAGAATACGCTTCTGGTTTAGAAGGCACTCAAGCACAACCCGTAGTGAAAGTCAGCGCCCGAGGACTGCAAATTGCTCATTTAAGAAACCCCTGATTTCTCAGGTTAAAAACAACCCACTCACCAAAAACAAAAAAAAAACATACGTATATGTATTTTAAATTTTTCATAATCAAGAAAAGTAAACTTTATGTTAAAACATAAAATAAAAATTCCTTTTTACTCTTAAGTAGAAAACACACTTTTTGGCCACACTGTTCATCTTACTGGCATGTCTTGAAAATAAATTTAATTTTTAAATGCTCATTGTTGATAAATAGAGACAAAAAAAACCTGTGCTAGAAAAGTCATAATTAGACTCATAGCTGTAGGCACCAAAACTCGTGTAAGTGAAGTAGAAACTGTGAATGGGCTCGGCTGCAGTAGGGCCCACGGTCTTTGCTCTGGAATTAATCCTACAGAGACCCATAAAAGATTAATCAAGACAAGCAATCAATAACTTCTCAAGTGCTAATAAGCACTGGCTTGTTCTGTGATCTGTCGAGCAGTTTATCATGTTTAGCCAGATGAAGATTTATAGGAAATCCATAGCTAAAACTGAAGGATGAGGTCATGCAGCACTTAGTAAATGAAGCCCAGCTAAAATTCATGCTCGATATCATGCATCGCAAGCATCTGCAAAAGTCATTTTTGATCCCCCCCTTCCTTTTTGTAAGAATTAAAAAGAAGAGTGAGTCACGCCACTTCACCGATGTTGTTAGGGGGATAATTAAGAAAAGTGTAATGCTGTTCAAATGACCATCTGCCTGTTTTGCAGGGGAAGACAGTAAAATGCCTTGGAAATTAATGAACTTTTTTTCTACTCTCTTTTTCACCCAAAGATCAACTTTTCCTGGAAATTTTTTGAAAGTTATGTAAAATATCTTTTAGGATCATTTAGGTCTCTACTCTCCATCAAGCTGATGGAGCAACAGGTCAAGCGAGTGGATGAGTTAATGGGTAACTAATAGTTCATAAATTGCAGGTCTTGACCATCAGGTGACATCGCTGAACTTCCCGCTACGGCAGGTTATTAATCAAAAGCATCAAATGGAATGTTTTGTAAATTAATACTTGAAGCAACATTATAATCAAAAGAATATACCTAATCAAATAGATGGACCACAATAAGTGTTTTCACAAACGTGGAAACTTAAGCTAAGTAATTATAAACAAGCAGATTTGGGAGAGGAGGGTCAAGTTTTTTCAGGGTCAACAATTAGAAAGACCAGAAAATAGACGTAAGATAAATGGGAAATCACTAGTTGAATCAAGGTTTAAATGTATATGAAAAATGCGGAAAAAAGCCAAATTTTTTAATAAAAAATAAACTTAGCCATCACACCAAACTAGTAGATAATACTTTTTAAATAGGTAATGTGATAGGTCCTTGCAGATAAGTAAGGAATTTCCTGGGGAAAATTCTGATATTTACAATGCTTTCTGGACCGATTGCATCACGAATTTTTTTTTCAAATCAGAAAATTCTGGTGACTAATGAGATAAAAGTTTCATTTAACAATGGCTGCTACCATGAATAATCCCACGTAAGCACCAACACACACACCTACACACTTGCTTTACCTTGGGCCACCTGTTGAAATTTATTTGAAATGCCCCTTTTAAAGCGTCCTTCAGAAGGTCATTTGACTTGATAGTTTCAACAGCGTGGAATCTCTCTCCATTCACAGTTCAGTTTAATGCAGGAGGTGGAGGAAATCATAGGCTGAAGAACAAAGGGTGTGTCTCTACCCGTCAAAAGTTGCCGGAGGACAAGGCTGAGCGCAGGGTGAAAGCCATTCTTATAGTTAGCATGCCTTTGGCTTCAAATAACGGACAAACTCAACCTGCAATAGGACAATGTCCAGAGTCATCTGGGCTTCGAAGGTTAACCCAACGGTCCAATGACAACATCACAAACCCGTATGCCTTCCCTCCCCCAGGCTGCCACCCATGGTTTTCACTTCAGGTTGGTTTTCCGTGATTTTAGGATGGATCCGGGCAGTGATCTTGGCTCCATGCTTCCCTCTTTGTAAGCACACCATGAAAGGAGGAGAGATTGTCCAGGACGCCCTCTTAAAAGTGAGGGAGAGCTTTCCCGACAGCCCCCAGCTAACTTCTCCTAAGTCCCACTGGCCAAAATTGGGCCACATCCCCATTCCCAAACCAGTGGAGATGCTCATGGAATTAAGCCTGGCTCGGTCAGGGCCCCACCTAAGGTCCATTCCTGAAACGTGGCCCGGATACTCCACGGGCAACATCCTTGAGGAACAGCACAAATGAGGGCTGATACAAATGAACTCGAAGCACACAAGAGTGCAGTCACCAGTCAAGGCTGGGTAGCTTCAGGAGAGAGGGTCTCAGGAACCAGCCCCGCTCACAGCTGCTCCGTTAGAGAGGTGCGCAGGACTTTTACCTCAGCTCCCGTGGAAGTGAGCCTGATGTGCATGCAGTTTGCCCACTCACCCCGCAAGATCCGGCTCAACGATTTAATTACATCAGAAACTATAATTTTAAGGTACAGTTCAAGGTCACAGCCTCATAATTATAGGATAATTATCTTTGCTGTGTAAATCACATCATTTTGATGAAATATAAAGGTTACACGGCAAATAAACATCTAATTACATGGCAAGTTTGATGTAATTATTATTAAGTAATCTATCAGAACATAAAATCACCACTGGATGTGGTTATAATGATCAGCCTTGTCATTGCCAAAAATTTCACATGGCTACTTATGTCTTATAAAAGGAAATGATTCTACAATAGCACGGAGTATTAAAAACAGAAGAGGGACTGGCCCAGCGGCATAGCGATTCAGTTCGTGCCGTCCACCTCAGTGGCCTGGGGTTCACTGGTTCAGATCCTGGGCGTGGACCTACACACTGCTCATCAAGCCATGCTGTGGAGGCATCCTACATGCAAGATAGAGGGAGATGGGCACAGATGTTAGTTCAGGGCCAATCTTCTTCAGTAAAACGAGGAGGATTGGCAACAGATGTTAGCTCAGGGTCAATCTTCCTCACCAAAAAAAAAAAAAACAAGATAAAGAGTTTTTTATTTGTTTTTTGTTTTTTAGGTTTAGTGTTTTTGTTTTGGTTTGGTTTGGTTTTTCACCAAATAGGGTCACAAGTCTTTTCATTAGGGTTCGATTCATGGTGATTTAGAAGACCAAAAGAAAAAAAAGGCCACAATGCAGAAAAAAACAACTAAATGAACATGAAGAAAAACAAATACAAACAAAATCTCAGATTTTAAAAAAGTCTGAAATTGAGAAGGCAGCATAGCACACGACTGAAGAGGTGAGGGCTGCTAGGAAAGAATTGTCATCAATATTTTCAGAATTTCAGGATGCAGACAAGACTTTCCAGTTCCCCTCTCTAGGGACAATGGTAACCGGATTATCACAAGCCTCTCTTCATTAAATGATTTACAAAGGGAAGCTCAGGGCTCAATAGGCGTGTCTTTCATAAGGGCCCATCACACGTCCTTTTCATCCTGGCTCCATCCTTCCATAAAGCAGGAGCAAACCAGTTTCACAAAAATCTAACCTACGACCAATTGCTGGTATTCATGCCCAAATGGATGAGTAAAAAATTAAAATCTATGAATTTGCTCAGACTGATTGCCTCTGTGCACCCCATTTTGTTGTAATTCTTTTCTCTCTATTCTTCATCACTTTTCCCCGATTACTTTCCATTCTCATTTTCCTAACCCCGCAGATATCATCTATTCTAGTTTTCATCAACTTTGAATTCCAAAAGTTTTGTGTATTTGCCATCCACTTGAAAGCCTTTGTTTACCGTCTGTTACTCTAAAGGCATTGTTGTCACAGAAAAATTAGATTCAAATTTCAAAAGTCAACCAACACTGAGAAAACAGAGTCTGGATTTAACTGGAGTCTGTTGAAAATAAGGAGGGGAGGGGAGAGGTGGGGCAGAGGGAATGAGACTCCAGGATGGCAAACTCCTAGGATGCAGCAGGGTGATGGAAGGACCAAGGAGCAGAAGCCACGCCCACCTCCCTCTGAGGGCGGCTGGGCCAGGGCGCTCCTCCAGCAGGGCCTCTGGACCTCCTCCCAGTCAGATGGATGCAGTCAGCGAAGTCCGTCTTCCTCCAGCCCTGTATGCTTCTGACTTCCTTCCTCCCACTCTCTACCAGAAGAGAGCGGGCTCTGAAATTCAGCAAAGCACGACTGGAGGGAGAGACCCGGGCTGCCCCCACAACCAGGGATGCCCCATGAAGTTAGTAACATTGAGGAGCTGTGTAGACACTGATTATGCCTACTCACCTTATGGGATTTTTTCCTTTTTGGTGTATATTTCCCTAAATTCAAGATCTGTTTTGTTACCAGGTATCTCTTGTTAATGTGGCAATGAAGGGCATCATTACCTTATTCCTTGTTGCACTTTTTGTCACTCTCCTCTCTTTATAGTGGTCAATACCTTCTTCTTGTCAAATTCCATCACCACTTCTTAGCCTTTCTTCTTCTTGAGCTCTCTGCAGCATTTAACCTGACTGACATCCTATTTCCCCTTCCAAAATCTTCCCCTCTTCATTTACTCAACGCTGAATCTTTCTGTCTTGCACCTCCCTCAGTCCAAGTCGACATGTTAAACCACGACCATCACACCTCCCGCCAGCACTCAGTCCCAGCTCCCCGTCCACAGGGCCCTCGGTGGCCTGCTCACACCCTCAGCAGCATCTTCAGCACCTTCCATTGTCTCTTTGCCCACGTGAAATCTGGTTGAGACTCCTGCTTTGTTCTTGAAAAGGCTTCTCCATCCTTCCTCCCTCTATTTCATTTACCCCACGCCCTCACACTCACACCTCTGCAACGCTTCACCAGCTGGGGTTCCTGAAAAGTCTGTTCACATATATGCACACAATCGACTTACCTTCCTAAAGATAATACATTGATTATGTAACTCCACCAGTAAATACACACCCCCAAAAGCCCCCTTTATGTAGTTTGAAGTTGCAACACCGCGGCTATCCACCGTTTATTGGACTTTGTTTCATCTATTCACGATCGACCGAGTCTCCAAGTTCCTCACCAGTTATCACCTTTTCAATAAACTTTCTTTGACCATGATGATGTACATGAAACACCTTCTTCTCTGAAATCTTGTTGCACTTATTGTCACCTTCCTATATTTGGTATTTAATTAGCTATAGACCTGTATTGTTATGTAACTATTTTATTTTTTTTGGGGTTTTTTTGTCTCTACCAATGAAATGGTTAGCCTAAAGTTTATTTTTTATTATTCATATTGCTAAACATATAGTAGATAATGAATAGCTATTAAACACCACTTTATTCATTCAACAAAATATTTCCAGAGACCTACAAAGTCACTGGTAATGGGCTTAGCGCTGAAATACAACGACGTGTGAGAAAGACATGATGCCCGCCATTCAGAGGTTCCCATGCAATGAGTAGGTCAAAAAGTAAGTGATTGGGGACAGCCTGGTGGTGTAGTGGTTAAGTTTGTGTGCTCCACTTTGGTGGCCCAGGGTTTGCAGATTTGGATCCTGGGCATGAACCTACACACCACTCATGAAGCCATGTTGTGGCAGAGTCCCACATACAAAACAGAGGAAGATTGGCAATAGATGTTAGCTCAGGGCCAGTTTTCCTCAAAAAAAAAGAAAAAAAGTAATTGATCACAGGAAATACCTCCTGGTAAATGCTGTGAGAGGGAAGTCCACGTGCCATCAGAGCCCAGAGGAGGAAAACCTTGGACTTGGGGAGACCATGCAACGTCAACATATTAAATAATCCTACGGGCTAAATGATCCTATCACTGTCTCTGGATCAATAAGCGATCTGCCTCCCTCACTCAAACCCACCCTCCCTCCTTTAATCCTAATTCATCCATGTTCTTCCTTCTTTATGGCCTTGTCCTCTATGAACCAGCAAATCCTTCTTCCCATGTACCTTTTTTCCCCTAAACATAACTGTCAGTACATACTGTTTACCTCTGCAAGGGGCTGGCTTAAACTTCCGATCATCAATCATCTACAAAATTCAGTCACTGTGAGCCATTCCTTTAGCTTCGTTTCATTTTATACCTCTCGGTGTAACATCTTTGTCTCCACATGCTCTGGTCCTCTTTCTGGTGAGTCTTCACTATTTTCTCTCTTTCCTTGTACGCTCCCATAATAACAATCCCCTAAATAATCCAAGGAAAACAATGTCAATAGCATACACATTTTAGCTTTCAATGACATAATAACTTCCTCTATGTTCTTTTCTTGGAATGTTCTAGAAGATCCATAGATAACACCTAAAATAACACAGACCCTTTCCTTCTACACTCCATCCTCTGTTCCTGTTGGGTACACACTAGTCCCCACTTATCCACGGGGACACATTCCAAGATCCCCAGGGAATGCCTGGAACCACAGGCAGTACCGAACCCTACATACACTGTTTTTCCCCATACAGACCTACGATAAGTTTAATTTATAAACTAGGCACAGTAAGAGATTAACAACAATAACTAATAATAAAATAAAACAATGATAACAATATACTATAACACAAGTTACTGTAGATCTTAGCAACCTCAGTATGCAGTTTTTTTCTTTCCTTATTAAGTCAAGAACTTCCAACTTTGCACTTAAAGGAAGCTCTTTATGGCTTCTTTGGCATATCCAAGTTGCCAGCATCACTACTCTTGCACTTTGGGGCCATTATTTAGTAAAGTAAGGGTGACTTGAACATGAGCACTGGGATACCACGACGGTCGATCTGATCACCGTGACAGCTACTGAGTGACTAACAGGGAGGCAGTGTATACAGCACGGATCCACTGGACAGAGGGATGGGTCACGTCCTGGGCGGCACAACACAAGATTGCATCATGCTACTCAGAACGGGCCATAATTTAAAACTTATAAATTGTTTATTTCTGGAATTTTCCATTTATATTTTTGGACTGCAGTTCACTGTGGGTAACTGAAACCTCAGAAAGCAAAACCATGGATAAGGAGGGATGACAGTATTCCTGCCTATTTATTGTAACCCTGTCATCTCAGTTTCTGCTTTTGACAATAGAGTGGATAGTGATCATATTTTCTGAGGGAGGAAAGACTGATATAATTACAGGTTAAAACGGAGAAAAATCAATAATTAGGTTTGAGATGTTAAATTTGACGTGCTCTTGAGACAACTGAGTCTAAGTGACAAGCAGCAGCCAGATACACCCCCCCCCCCCGGAACCCTGGAAGGAGATGTGCCTGGAAATAACAATTTTGGAATCATAGACACATAGATAATATATGAAAAGCAAATCTCCCACTTATACCTGTAGGACAGATCAGAACACACATACGAAAGAGGAAAAATTAGAAGTTCCATTTGAAACTTCTCTTATTAGCAAAGCTTGTCATTGGTGTAAGAAAATTCAAAGGTTAATCGCCAAATATGCAGTGGTTACAGGAGTTTATGCACAATTTTGGAAATCAGAAGTACAACCAAGCAAAATGTCACAGTTTTTCCTTTGATTTTTCAAAACTTCCAGACGCATACTACTTCAATCTAGAGTATTTACAGTAACACAAATGAAAACAGTAACAGTAACAAACTACAAAGTCATGACCACACTTGACAGCACCAAGGCCACGTGCCCGGGGTTCTGCTTGTGGGAATGACTTACCAGGAGGACATCTTTTTGGAAAGGTGAAATGGAACGCAGCTTCACAACCCCTCATAACACTAATAAAACCCCAGGGCTCCAATGCATAGTTCTAATAGAATCTAGAAAGCAAAAATCAAGTTCTGTCATGACACATCAGTGACACCCAGGTCTGGCACCTTGACTGAAACATCACTGGTGAGGAGACAGCAGCTCTGTTTCTGAAAAATGTCACCTGCATCGTGTGATGACAAGGCGAGTCAGGTTGGACGAACTTGAAAATCACACCTCCTCCACAAGCAAATGCATCCTCAGACGTCATTTATTCAGGACAAGCCAAGAGAGTCTGGATCTACAACGTGCAAGTCACTCTGTACTGTATGTTCTTGCACATAGCGTTTTCCTTCACAGTGCTTATCTCAACCTAATTAAAAACAATCAGTACAGTTTTAAGCAATCTAAACTGTTTTCTAGACAGTAATCTAAATCCCCTGGGGTAGGGACCATGTCTTTCTTGTTCATCATTTCATTGCCCTAATGAATGTGACTGAAAAACACAAATGTGCCAAGGTTCATGGCAGTGGGCGTGATGAGTGGCATTTAAAGAAATATAACACAGCCTCGCTGTCCTCAAGGAGCTTACAGACCTAGCTGGGTAGAGAAGACATGAAAGATAAGGCAAAGGATAATTTACAGAATAGATTCAGTGTAAGGCAAATGACAAATGATTTAGATAATTTTCAAAGACCTTCCACAAATGTTGCTACAACGTGCATCTCTGTGCACAAGCCCGTATTATGTAGAATTACATTCTTAACCAATCCTCCCAGAATTGGAATGATTTGGTAGCATTCTAGAGAAAAATAACATTAACGCCGTTTTTTGTAAAAAAAATTAATTTAAAAATGGTAACATTAGGGATATCCTAAGCAAACTTCCTGGTTTAAGTGTCTATAAGATACTTCAATGGAAAAATTATTAAAACGTATGAAAAAATACACAAAAATAAGGAACAATTCCTTGCCACTCAGTAATTGCTTCAATGTACAAAGAGCTTAGAAGCTGTCTCTCCTGCCCTCGCAACAAGAAAAACCTGAACAAACTGAAAATCAACAACCTTTCTTAGGGCCATCCCAGAATTGTGGTCACGGGCAAACCATGGCCCAAAAACTGCAGACACAGAAGAATACAGAGAATGTCAGCCAGATCAACTTACTGGAAAAGAAGGGTGCAGCCGTTACTGGTGGGAACACTTAAACAGTGATTTTGAGGAATTGCTGGGGGCTGCATGTGGACTGGCTTGAGAGTGAGAAATTCCTGAGGGCCATAGTCTTGGGGGTCACCCCACACTTTCATGAGTTGTACCTCCAGGAACCCCACCAGATTCTCAGGTGAAGAGCCAAGAAAAATCCCCCTCTGTTTCTGGCAGGGAGAGGGGGAAAGTAGCCAGTGTGAAAGACACCTGGAGCCCTCACCCCTACAAAGCTTACTCTACAGGGAAAAGACTTTTATCCCACCTCGGGGAAGACCACTACCCACTCCAGCCCCCTCCAGCCTTCCTTCCTCTCCTAGGGAAGATGACAGAGGTCAGGAGCTCAGGTCAACTTACAGAAGGAATAAAGGAAGGAAAATAAAATATTTTTTTCTTCTTAATTGATCTCATCGATAACTGTTCAAAGTAATCATCTAACAATGTCCTGGGTGATTATAGCACATGGATAAGGGCAATGAAGGACAGCAGTGTTACCAGCAATGGCAGGATGGATTGCGAACACCTTGTTATGAGGTCCCTGCCCTCCTCATGAAGCAGTGTAGTGTGATTTGAAAATGAACTCAGACTAGCTGTAAATGTATATTGCAAACTGTAGGGTACCCACTAAAAACAATTTTAGAAATAAGTATAATTGATGTGCGAAGAGAGGAGAGGAAATGGGATTATGGAACATTTTAACCATGTAACATAAAAACCAGAGAAGGCAGAAAAAGAGAGGGGAAAAAATAAAGAACAAGCAACAGATAGAAACAATTATGAACATGATAGCAATCAAACTACATCAATAATCATTTTAAACATGAATGGTCTAAATACACCAATTAAAAGACAGAGACTGTCTTGTCAGAGTAGATAAAAAAACTAAGACCCACTAAACGTGGTCTCCAAATACCCATCGTGCTTTCTGACCCCCTGACCCCCCACAGCCCTGTGCCTCAGCTTGGAGCTCTGCAAGGGTGGAACCTAACATGTTTCAGCACATCTCAGCAAAAGGATAGATACTAACAAATAATAATAATAACATCTATCATTGAGTAAGCATCTACCATGTGTTAAGGATTGTGACCTCAGGATGTAGGAAGCCCTTAATGACAATTTGGTGAATGGACAGATAAGTTAATAAACCAGTTACTCAATGAAAGCTCCAGCATGCTGAATTCTCTCTTCATCGATATCCATGCCCAGCTTACTTTTCATGAGATCTTTTCAGATCTGGGGTATATAAGCTGCAAATGGAAGGGGAAGAGCATAGACTTTAACCTAATATAAGTTCCCCATGAAGAAATTATCTCAGTTCAGTCAGTGGACTTTTCATCTTTCACTGCTCACCGCTCACTAACACTGCTGAGGACAGGGCTCCTGCTTCTTCTGGCTTATGCAGTTTTCAGATGGAGAATAGGAAATGAATAAAGGACACAGCCCCATGGCTTCCACAGTGGGTTGTCACTGTCTAACAGAGAACTATACGCCCTTGGAATAAGTCTTCAAAGTTACCCTATCGACAGAGATCCTATCATCCCTTCCAAAAGTCATGACACGCACAGGCTGGCATTTATCTGACACCCCATCTCAGGACGAGACTGAATGTTTGGAACCAGAGCATCCTGGAAGCCCAGCAACAAATGGTCACCAAGCAAAGATGGAGGCATGGGCATCCGCTGGAGCATCAAGAAATCCAGATTCCTGCTCTGATCTCTTGCTAATTAACTAGCAACTAGTCTATGCAAGTTTCCTCACTTCTCTGGCCTCAGTTTCATCATCTGTAAAGCGAAGAGACATCCTCTAGATAATCTCTGGTATTCCTTTCAAATTCACAATTCTATCATTCTAAATTGATGAAAATAATACAACAATTATTAAATGTACACAACTGTACTGTGCAATTCTCAACTACCTGTGAGTCTGCACACAGAGACACTACAAAATACAGTAAGATAAGTTCTGTTGCGTTCATTAATGTTGTTTTATAATTTGAAGGCCAAATGGTAATTATTTTTTATCAAATGTAAACACAACATACATAAAAATAGCCCTATTCCACACATTTGTTACCTTTCTTCACTCCTAAACTTACATTTTGATTAACACCATGTTTCTTTTTCTTTTTTTTGAGGAAGATTGGCCTTGAGCTAATATCTGCTGCCAATCTTCCTCTTTTTGCTTGAGGAAGATTGTTGCTGAGTTAACCTCTGTGCCAAACTGCCTGTGTTTCATGTGGGAGGCTGCCACAGCATGGCCCGACAAGCAGTGCTAGGTCT